ACCCTAAAGGATTCGCCCTCAACCGCAGACCCAACACCTCACACAGAGCAACAGATCAACAGACACCCCGCCCAGACCAGCGAGACACTCTCCCAGACCTGCGGGACCCCCCCCCAGGACCTACACATAGAGGACCCCCGCAGAGAGGACCTACATCCAGACCACAGCACCATCAACCACATCTACACACCCCCACCCCCCACCAATTAACTCCCCCCCCAAGTCAACCATGCCCACACCCCATTTAGGCCCCCTCAGATCAGACCTATGCCCCTCCTACCCACCCCAAGCCCCCCACTCCCACAAAGAGGGACTCAACATGAAAGTCACACATACGCCCAGGCCGTGAGCAGGCAAACAGGCCCAACACCCACTCTTTCACTAGCCCAAGCCAATGGCATGTACCAGATGCTCAGCAGGCTCTGCTCACAATTACTGGCCTGAGGCCAAACCACACAATCAACAACATTAGACACTTTATGAACACAAAGCCTTCACTATTTCATCCTGGAATATCCAAGGCCTTGATGGTCATCTGCCTTTGGCCTAAGAGCAGGAAATCTGGACTTCAACCAAAGAAATCGGAAATACAGACATTGTTATCCTACAAGAACATGGTATAGAGGAGACGGACCCACTGGTTGCCCTCTAGTTACAGAGAGCTGGTAGTCCCATCCACCAAACTACCAGGTGTTGAAACAGGGAAGGGACTCAGGGGGTATGCTAATTTGGTATAGAGCAGACCTAACTCACTCTATTAAATTAATCAAAACAGGAACCATTTTACATTTGGTTAGAAATTCAAAAGGAAATTATCTCAACAGAGAAAAATGTCCTCCTGTGTGCTACCTATATCCCCCCACTAGAATCCCCATACTTTAATGAGACAGCTTCTCCATCCTGGAGGGGGAAATCAATCATTTCCAGACCCAGGGACATGTACTAGTCTGTGGTGACCTAATGCCAGAACTGGACAAGAACCTGACAACCCTCAGCACACAGGGCGACAAACACCTACCTGGAGGTGACAGCATTCCCCTCCCCATATGCCCCCCTAGGCACAACTACGACAACATAACCAACAAAAACGGGTCATGACTCCTGCATCTCTGTCGCACACTGGGTATGTACATAGTCAATGGTAGGCTTCGAGGGGACTCCTATGGTAGGTACACCTATAGCTCATCTCTTGGCAGTAGTACTGTAGACTACTTTATCACTGACCTCAACCCAGAGTCTCTCAGAGCGTTTACAGTCAGCCCACTGACACCCCCTATCAGACCACAGCAAAATCACAGTCTAATTGAACAGAGCAATACTCAATCATGAGGCATCAAAGCCAAAGGAACTGAATAATATTGAAGAAATGCTATAGATGGAAGGAAAGTAGTGTTGAAACCTACCAAAAAACAATTAGGCAACAACAAATTCAATCCATTCTAGACAACTTCCTGGACAAAACGTTCCATTGTAATAGTGAAGGTGTAAACTTGGCAGTAGAAAACCTAACAGTATATTTGACCGCTCAGCTTCCCTATCAGATCTAAAAATCTCTAACAGAAAACCAAAGAAAAGTACAACAGTGATAAATGGTTTGATGAATAATGCAAAAACCTAAGAAAGAAATTGAGAAACCTATTCAAAACCAAAAACATAGAGACCCATAAAACCTGAGCCTACGCCTTCACTATGGTGAATCACCTAAAACAATACAGAAATACACTACGGAAAAAGAAGGAACCAGCATGTCAGAAATCAGCTCAATGTAATTGAATAATCCATAGACTCTAACCACTTCTGGGAAAATTGGAAAAAACTAAACAAACAACAACACGAAGAGCTATCTATCCAAAACGGAGATGTATGGGTAAACCACTTCTCCAATCTTTTTGGCCCTATAACAGAGAACAAACAGAAAAAAAATATACATGATCAAATGCAAATCTTAGAATTAAACTATTAAAGACTACCAGAACCCACTGGATTCTCAAATTACATTGAATGAACTACAGGACAAAATACAAACCCTCCAACCCAAAAAGTCCTGTGGTGTTGATGGTATCCCTCAATGAAATGATAAAATATACAGACCACACACATTTCAATTAGCTATACTTAAACTCTTTAACATATCCTTAGCTCTGGCATCTTCCCCAAAATTTGAACCAAGGAACCCGATCACCCCCCAACCACAAAATTTGGGGACAAATTTGACCCCAATTAAAAATTTTTCCCCCTGGGATATCCTCCCAAAAGCCAACCTTTTGGGAAAAACCTCTTCATTATCATTAACCAAAAGCTATTCATTTCCTCAGTGAAAACAATTAAATACAAATGTCAAAAAGGCTTTTTTACCCAAAATTTCCCTAAAAACAGAAACCACGTTTTACCCTGCACACCCTAATTGGGGCAAACAAAAAAACCAAAAAAAAAGGCAAATCTCTCATGCTTTGTTGATTTCAAAAAAACTTTTTCCTCAATTTGGCATGAGGGTCTCTATACAAATTTATGGAAAGTGGGGGTTTGGGGAAAAAAAATACGACTTAAAAAAATCCATGTACACAAAACAAGGTTTCGAAATTAAAAATTTGGGAAAAAAAACACACATTTTTTTTTTCCAAAAAGGGCCCCGGGGGGAGAAAAGGGATTCAGTTTAAGCCCCCCCCCTCTTCACATATATATCCAAATTTGGGGAGGGCCCTAGAACATCGCAGCAAACCCCCTCCCACCCCTCTAGAAAACTGAAGTCAAAGTCTTTTTTTGCTGATTATCGGTTTCTTCTGTCACCAACCAAGGAGGGCCTAACAGCACCTGATCTTTTTTGCACAGATTCTTCAGACCCGGGCCCTGACAGTAAAAAACTCATAAGACCAAAAAAATGGGGGTTCCCAAAAAAGGGCCCCCGTTTTCCAGGACCACAAAAACAAATTTCCCTCTAAACAAACCCTTGCCCTGACACCCCAAAAACTTAAAAAATCCCCCGGGCCCAAACATCAGCGCCACGGTTTAAATTCCCAAAAAATGTGAACGATCTGAGAGACAAGGGAAGAAGGTCCTTTTTTGTGGGCCTCAAAAGAAAAAAATTTTTACATACCAATTAAAAGGGTCCCCGGCTAAAAAAACTTGAATCTTTTTTAGAATCCATTGCCTTTTTGGTTTTTTAGGTTAAAAGAGAGAGAGAGAGAGAGAGGGGAAAGAAGGAGAGAGAGGAGAGAGTAGAGAGAGAGAAAAGAGAGAAGGGGAAAAAGAGAGAAGGGGAGGGGAGATCGGTAAAAGATAGAGAAAAAGGCGGAGAAAAAATAAAGAGATAGGGGTATTGGGTTTTCTTAGCCCTTTTTTTCCGGATTTTATCTTTCTCTTTCCTTTTCACTCTCTTTTTCGCGGCCGGTTTTTTTATATGTTCCTTTTGTCTTTGTTTCCCCCCCTCTCTCTCTCTCTCCCCTTTTTCTTTTCCTTTTCTCTCTCTCTCTCCCTCTTCGCCCTCTCTCTCTTCTCTCTCTCTCTCTCTCCTTGAGAGAGGGGAAACCCCGGGGCCCCCAACCCCAAAACAAGGCCCTTTTTCTTTTAGTAATCTAAAATTCCCCCATGGCCATCCACTGAAAAACCCCCCATTGCTCCTATTAAAATTTTGAACCCCTAGGACCCTTTTTCACAGTCAAAACAAAAAGGGTTTAATTTTAAAAATGTAATTGGGGGAAAAAATCTGGCTTTCAAATTCAATAGGGGACCAAAATTCCAAAAAGGTTTTTCATTTTTAAAAATTGGGGTTTTTTTTCCCAAACAAACATTTTTTGGGCCCAAATGAATGACTGCAATCATGTAACCCCGTGGTGTAAAGTACTTACATTTAAAATTTACGTCATTTAGCGACGCTCTTATCCGAACGACTTACAGTTGTGCATACATTATTTTTTTCGAACCCACAACCCCGGCGTTGCAAACGCCATTCTCAACCCAAATGAGGGTACATCCCCTGCCCGGGCCCTTCCCTCCCCTCCCTGGATGACGGGTGGGCCAATTTTTCGCCCGCCCCATGGGTCCCCCTCCCGGGCGGGCCGGGTACAACAGGCCCCGGGTTCGAACCAGGATCCCCTAGGGCCACCCAGCACTGCGATAATCCTTTGAAAACCCCGCGCCCCTTTGTCTTTAAAGTAAATACTTAAAGTTTTTTTTTTTGGGATCTGTTTCTTTACTTTACTATTTATATTTTAAATTTTACTTCACTCCAAATCCTTTAAAAAAAATAGTGTTTTTCTTTTTACTCCCTACTTTTCCCCCGACACCCAAAAGTACTCGTTACTTTTTTAATTCTTACAAGGGCCAAAAGGGTCCAAATTTACCCCCTTTTCAAGTAACTTTCTGGCAAACCCCCACACCCCCGATCTGGCGGACTCACTAAACACACCCTGCTTCGTTTGTAAAATTCGTCCCGAAGTTGGGGTGGGGCCCCTGGGTTTCCCTAAATTAAAAAAAAAAAAATGGGCCCCCTTGGTTTTTTTAAAGACGTTGGGAAATTTACGTCCCGTGCCAAGTGGGGGAAACGATCTGATGTTTTCCCCCTTTTCCATTATCACCCTTATTTTCTAATACTTTCAAAAGACCTCACTCTAATTCCCCCAAAACTGACTTGGGAAAAAGCCCTTTTAAAGTCACAAATTAACCCCCAAAACATTCCAAAATAAAATTATCCCAGGGAGGGGAGGGGGATATCAAACTATCTAGGGAAACAAAAAACAGAAAAAAAAACTAAAAAAAAAAAAGAAAAAACCCGAAAACCCAAACCCCCCACCCCCCCCGAAATTTTTCCCCCCGGGGGGACCCCCCCCCGGGTTTTTTCCCCAAACCCCGGAAAAATTCCCCAACCCCCTTTTTGGGTAATTTCTCCCCAAAAAGTAGGCGCCCTTTTAACCCCCCGTTTCCAGCCCCCCCTTTTTTAAAAACCGGTTTGAGTACCCAAAGGGGGGAAACCCCCACCCCGGGCGCCCCCCCATTTTTAAAAACCGGTTTAAAAACCAAAATTGGGGGGCCGGGTCCCCTTTTGGGGGGCCCCCCCTGGTGTTTGGATGATTTTTAAAGGGGGCATTTAAAACGGGGGATGGGAACCCCCTTGGGGCCTGCCCCCGTGCAGTGCCCCGTTTTATTAGCCCGGGTTCCCAAAAAACATGGGTTGTGGGTTTTAAAGTCCCCCCAAATCCCCCTGAAGGCGGGGGCCCCCGGGGAAACAAACCCCGAGTGCATATAAGGGGTTTTATAAGGGGGGGCCCTTTTGCCCCCCCCCATTGGTTCCCGCCCCTTCCCCGCCTTCCGAAACCCCCCCCGGGGGTTTTTACGGGGGTTTTTTGGAAAGGGAAAAGAAGGGGGGTTTGGAAGGGGGGGCTGGGGGGCCTCCCCCCCGCCTACGGGACCAACCCGGAAATTGGGCCCCCCGCCCGGCCGGGATAGGAAAATGTTGTTCCACGGGAGAAAAAAGGTTGTTAAACCGGGTAAAAAAAAACCCCCCCCAATGCACGTTCCTGGGATTTCCAGTGGGACCCCTTGGGGGGTTTTTTCCCCCCCCCAAAAAGGGCCCCCCGGCTTTACTTTTCCCGTTTGCCAAGGGGGATTAATAAAGGGGGTATTTTTCTTGCTGGAAAAAACATGATTTCAACTGCTAACTATATATTTTATGATAAAATACTCTTCAGTATGCCTAAGACTTTTATCCACGCTTGAATAATTAAGTCGCCATGGTTGGTGGACAAATCCTGTTGGTCTTCAATACTGAATTTTATAACAACAACATAACTTTTTAGGTAATTATACATCTATAATGTATGTGCATAGTCATTATAACATAAAATACATGTTAAAATCACTAACTTTTACAAATAACAAAAATTACACAGAGTTTGTTAGTGACAAAGAGCAAATAGCCTCACCTGGAGCAAGACAGTTAAAATAAACCTATTTACACAATACATGTTAAAATAATAACAAACTGTCAGCAACAGGGTCTCACTGTGGTCTCGAGTGTTGTGGTCATGATGTTACACATTTGTGGATCACTTGTTAATAACAGGGATGGAACTTAAAGGATTTTGGGCACTGGCCAGCCGGGCTAGTAGACCACAATATTTACTAGCCAGGTCCAAAACTATGGGAAAGTTAAGTGAGGTAAAGTACAACCAAGTAACCCATCCATAAAGAAGTGCTTGGTGACAGGAAGACATACACGATGTGCATACTAATGTGGTTCATAAGGAAACTCCTTCTGCTGCCATTGGTTCCTCCTGCTGCTAACTGTCCTATCAATAAACTGCAGGTTGACAGGGGTAGCAGGGACCAGAAGGGTTCTGTGATTGGCTTGACTGTGGCCCGGCAGAGTCTGCTCATATTTCATAGTATTTGACCAACTGGAGGATAGAGAGAGGAAAACACATTGATTATATTTTGTTATAGTCATAGTCTGAGAGAATGTCAGCTCTCCACATGTTAAATGAAAGAGATATAAGAATAGATAAACGGTAAAACAACAACAACCCATGAATAGCACAGTTACATAGAAATATGGACTTTCCTAGTGGGACAATCATGGCAATGTTTTATCATAATGTGTTCCGGACTTTCTGGAACCCGACTTGCCATGGCTATTGATACGGAGATTTCTGTGCATGTGCAGGATTTCTTTTACGTAGCTGCTGGCCACTGCTGCATACATAGCTTCTGCTCATGCAACCTACTGCTCTGCTGCTGCAAGAGGGGGAAACTTCATATTGTAGGCTACACTAAAGATATGGTAGACTGTTCTTTTTTCAGGAGGGGTGTTGGGCTACATGAAGCTATCATGTTGTACACAAAATACATCATCGACATGTTCGTACAAACTTTGTTGTCTGTTGTAACAGTATATTTAGGCAGCATATAAACACAAGCAAGACACATACAGGCAGTCAAAATAGCCATTATTTTTTCATTATCATTGCAAACTTGGCTAGTTCTTTTTCAGCAACTCCTCTGGCTACGATATGGCAGCTTAACTCTGAAGATTATCATCACAAATAGTAGGCAGTGTAAAAGCAGTAGTTGACTAATGACGTCAGGAATAATAGTGCACCCTGCTGCAAAATTAACTCGCCCATTGTCAACTTTGGTTACCGGTCCGGATACACATGCTCGAGCTGCCTAGAACATTCGGCTGCCCAGAGATGGACAGTTAGGTAGCCTACTCGTGCGGTACTTGCATGATCATTGAGAAGCGAATAGCAGTTAGTAAGGCATGTGTGTGGTTAAAACGCAGATAATTTTTCTCTTCAATGCCAAAGCTAACAGAGGCACACCACAACCAGCTAAACCGGATTATATTAGACTGTTACTACAGACCAGATCAACACTTATAACTAACTACTCAATGTCCTGAGGCTGGGGCTAAAAGTAGGTTTAAATGTGTATAACCTACTGTAGCTTAACCCCTCTGCCCACTAGAGGCACTGTCAAATGAAATGTGAAAATTGTTGAAGGAAACGTATGAAGACAGAGGATGCTGTATTGTCCCCTTGCACTATCACACAGTTGCCTGATCATTTCCAGATGCAGAAAAGCATGTGGTCTGAATCCCAAACTACTATCAGAGTCTACACAACAACAGAAGAATGCTGTTTAATGAAGGGCCATATGCTGTAGGGTACTATACATTATTCACACACACAACTACAGAGCAGGCCTGGATGTCTTACCCTGGAGAGGATGAGGTACATCTCCAGCTCGGCCACCCTCCTGCCAAGGCAGCCCAGACCCCGAAACCGAAGGGCACTGAGCCAAAGGTGTGCTGGTTCTTCTTGTCTTCCCCCCGGCCCACACGGACCAGCGTCAGGCAGGAAGGTATGGGGCTTCCGGCAACACTGCCTGGTCAAAGGACAACGGCATAGTGACACAGGTGGAACAAAGTCTGGGACAGAGAGATGGAAGGAAGGAGGAGAGAGATAGAGGGAGAGGACAGAAGAGAGGGAGAACAGTCACAGCTGCTAAAACTCTGGATCAGTGGTATACTGTTTGATTGAGCGATATTGACAAACCAAAAGTCTACCCTGGATTTTTATTAAATAAAATACTGAAGTTAAGGGTGAAGTTAATATACAGTACCAGTCAAACGTTTGGACACACCTACTCATTCAATGTTTTTCTTTATTTTTACTATTTTCTACATTGTAAATAATAGTGAAGACATCAAAACTATGAAATAACACATATGGAATCATGTAGTAAGCAAAAAGTGTTATACAAATCAAAATATATTTTATATTTGAGATTCTTCAAATAGCCACCCTTTGCCTTGATGACAGCTTTGCACAATCTTGGCATTCTCTCAACCAGCTTCACCTAGAATTCTTTTCCACAGTCTTGAAGGAGTTCCCACATATGCTGAGCACTTGTTGGCTGCTTATCCTTCACTCTGCCGTCCGACTCATCCCAAACCATCTCAATTGGGTTGAGGTTGGGGATTGTGGAGGCAGTCATCTGATGCAGCACTCCATCACTCTCCTTCTTGGTAAGATAGCCCTTACAAGCCTGGAGGTGTGCTGGGACATTATCCTGTTGAAAAACAATGATAGTCCCACTAAGCCCAAACCAATGGGATGGCGTATCGCTGCAGAATGATGTGGTAGCCATGCTGGTTAAGTGTGCCTTGAATTCTAAATAAATCACAGACAGTGTCACCAGCAAAGCACCCCACACACATAACACCTCCTCCTCCATGCTTTACGTGGGAGCTACACATGCGGAGATCATCCGTTAACCCACACCGCATCTCACAAAGACACGGCGGTTGGAACCAAAAATCTCCAATTTGGACTCCAGACCAAAGGACACATTTCCACCGGTCTAATGTCCATTGCTCATGTTCTTGGCCCAAACAGGTCTCTTCTTATTATTGGTGTCCTTTAGTAGTGGTTTCTTTGCAGCAATTCGACCATGAAGGCCTGATTCACACAGTTCCCTCTGAACAGTTGATGTTGAGCTGTGTCTGTTATTGAACTCTGTGAAGCATTTATTGGGCTGCAGTTTCTGAGGCTGGTAACTCTAATGAACTTATCCTCTGCAGCAGAGGTAACTCTGGGTCTTCCATTCTTGTGGCGGTCCTCATGAGAGCCAGTTTCTTCATAGCACTTGATGGTTCTTGAAATTTTCCGAATTGACTGACCTTCCTGTCTTACAGTAATGATGGACTGTCGTTTCTCTTTGCTTATTTGAGCTGTTCTTGCCATAATATGGACTTGGTCTTTTACCAAATAGGGCTATCTTCTGTATACCCCTCCTACCTTGTTACAACACAACTGATGTAGCTCAAAACGCATTAAGAAGGAAAGAAATTCCACAAATTAACTTTTAACAAGGCACTCCTGTTAATTGAATTGCATTCCAGGTGACTACCTCATGAAGCTGGTTGAGAGAATGCCAAGAGTGTGCAAAGCTGTCATCAAGGCAAAGGTTGGCAATTTGAAGAATCTCAAATATAAAATAGTTTTTTGTTTAACACTTTTTGGTTACTACATGATTCCATATGTGTTATTTCATAGTTGATGTTTTTCACTATTATTCTACAATGTAAAAAATAGTAAAAAAGAAAAACCTTGAATGAGTAGGTGTGTCCAAATGTTTGACTGGTACTGTATATCTCTGGATAAAACTGGATATACAAGTGTGATCGTATCTCCACACACAGGATGAAAAGAAAGTACTTTAGTTCACCAATAGCAACTATTTCCAACAGTACAAGATGGTAGAAGTATAAGTCACATTTTTGGGGAAAAAGGTGGTCCCCCACAACTATGCCATTTTCCACATTGGGCGTTTCCTGGTTACTACTCGGTACATCCTGGAGAGTGTGATGAGGTGTGATGAAGAGTCAGGCACATGAGGTAAAACACCGAAGTCCAGAGTTTATTCCTTTTACTATATAAAACGCACCCAGCGTGAAAACTAACTATAACAAGGGAAAATATTCCACCTTGGCAAATACAAATGAAGAGTAGCTCAAACGAGCTACGCGCTCTCACAATAAACAATCACTCACAAAGACCAAGGGGAACCGAGGGAACACTTATACCCTACCAATTAGGGGAATGAGCACCAGTGTGTGTGATTGACAAGACAAGACATGACAAGTGGAGTGATGAGAATGGGATCGGCAGTAGCTAGTAAGCCGGTGACGACGAACGCCGAAACCTGCCCGAACAAGGAGGGAGGCAGCCTTGGCGGAAGTCGTGACAGAGAGAGAGTACAGAAGAGTCACTAAGGGTAGAGAGGAAGGGATTGGCTACGTTTTGACTAATTAAGAATACATTACATAGGCACATTGACATATAATGAATTAACAATACATAATAACTAATTATGAATATATAACTTGAATAACCCATTATGATTTTATAATGAAGTGAATTTACGGAATGACGTGAATGGGATGACAAATGACTGACAACTTACCGTAGCATCTCCCTGACAACAGCTTTGGAGCCAGGGCATTCTGGCGATGTCATCACTAGTAGGCACCTTGTCCCCTGGGCAGACACTGATCACTTCCTGGTAACAGCTTCTCCTGGATCTCTGGCTCCAGGGCCATGTGGTACAGAGACCACGAGATGGTGTTGGACATCTGCAGCATAGAATACAATTACAATAGGAATGGTTGTAGGCTAATAATATTAGTTTTATGTTAATGGTCAGTAATTATATTTATATGGTCTGGATTAGGGAGGTGGGCATCAATGAGAGACAATGGTACTGATACTGTTATGGTGCTTGCTTGTGACTGTATATGACGTAGGTAGCTAATGTGGTTATGTTGCAAATGTTCACTCAACAAATCGCAATCTAAAATGGCTGAAATAAAGAAAAGAACATGTCCCCCACCAGGACTTCACCCCTTTCTCCACTACTGTTGCCACCCTGTCACACCCTACTGTGAAAAAAGCTCTACGTAAACACACCCAGCCACACCCACACCTCCTCACCGTGTCAACCCCAGCCAGCATTAGCTCAGTGATGGACCCCAGTATCTCAGTGACAGACATCTGTTCACTGACCAGCGAGGTGTGGTGAGGCCCAGATGCACCTTCTCCTGGATCTCCTCCATCTTCTGACGCACCTGCATGGGGACAGAGATCAGAGGTTGCAGTAACCAGCACAGACAATATAGATGCTTAGGGTGAAACTCAAGTCTTTTCTCAATTCCTTGTGTAGCAATGGGATCTGTGAAACCACAGGAGGCTTTGGTGAGGGAGGATGGCTCATAATAATAGCTGGAATGGAGTAAATTGAATGGTAGCAACACAAGGAAACCATATGTTTGATGTGTCGATACCATTCCATGCATTCCATTCCAGCCATTACTATGAGCCTGTCCTCCCCAATTAAGGTGCCACCAGCCGCCTGTGTATGAAACTCTCTCCTCAGCCTGACGTCCCCACTTGCGATGCTGAATCACGTGGTCATGTGTGTTTTTGCGAGGCAGAGGTCCTGGGTTCGAGCCTCGGTATGAGCTGAATCAGGGGGAAGTGGTACTCGCTATACAAGAAGCGTGACGCTTTCAACATCTATCCTCACCTTCTTCTCAAACAACAAAGAAGCGAGGAGAGCTTGGAAGGTCTTCTCCTCCTCGCTTCACTCTGATGTTTGGAGAAGGAGCAAGGAGAGGAAGTAAATAATCCAGGAAAGACTTTTGAAATGCACCCTTAGTCATTGCTGTGGACCCGAGTCATGATGGGATTTATTTTTGCTCATATAGGATATCTGCTACTAGATGGCAATATACTATCATATAATCTCTTATGTAACCTTTTGTGCACCTGCTTAGCATTCAAACTGTAAGGAGTACTTTTGGGTGTCTGGGAAAATGTTATGGAGTAAAAGTACATTATTTTCTTTAGGAATGGAGTGAAGTAAAAGTAAATTGTCAAAAATATAAATAGTAAAGTAAAGTACAGATACCCCCAAAAAACTACTTAAGAGTACTTTAAAGTATTTTACTTAAATATTTACCCCACTACACAGAGGGGCAAGCCAGGAGCAGTGAACTTGTTTTGATTTGCTTAGAGCTGAAACACAGCCATGAACTTTAGAAACCTCTGCTGTAACTAAATCAGCTACAGGAATGTAGCTGATTTAGTGCATTCGGAAATATCAGACCCCTTGACTTTTTCCACATTTTGTTACGTTACAGCCTTATTCTAAATGGATTAAATTGTTTTGTTTTCCTCATCAATCTACACACAATACTCCATAATGACAAAGCAAAAACAGTTTTTAGAAATTTTAGCAAATAAAAAAAGTAAAAAAAAACGGAAATATCACATTTACGTAAGTATTCAGACCCTTTACTCAGTACTTTGTTGAAGCACCTTTGGCAGCGATTACAGCCTTGAGTCTTCTGGGTATGACACTACAAGCTGGCACACCTGTATTTGGGGAGTTTCTCACATTCTATCAGGTTGGATGGGGGCTGCACAGATTTTTCAGGTCTCTCCAGAGATGTTCATTGGGTTCAAGTCCGGGCTCTGGCTGGGCCACTCAAGGACATTCAGAGATTTGTCCCGAAGCCACTCCTGTGTTGTCTTAGCTGTGTGCTTAGGGTCATTGTCCTGTTGGAAGGTGAACCTTTGCCCCAGTCTGAGGTCAGGTTTTCATCAAGGATCTCTCTGTACTTTGCTCCGTTCATCTTTCCCTCGATCCTGACTAGTCTCCCAGTCCCTGCCGCTGAAAAACATCCCCACAGCACAATGCTGCCACCACCATGCTTCACCGATAGGGCTGGTGCCAGGTTTCCTCCAGACGTGACGCTTGGCATTCAGGCCAAAGAGTTCAATCTTGGTTTCATCAGACCAGAGAATCTTGTTTCTCATGGTCTGAGAGTCCTTAGGTGCCTTTTGGCAAACTCCAAGTGGGCTGTCATGTGCTTTTACTGAGGAGTGGCTTCCGTCTGGCCACTCTAACCATAAAGTCTGATTGGTGGAGTGCTGCAGAGATGGTTGTCCTTCTGGAAGGTTCTCCAATCTCCCAGAGGAACTCTGGAGCTCTGTCAGAGTGACCATCGGGTTCTTGATCACCTTCCTCACCAAGGCCCTTCTCCCCCGTTGCTCAGTTTGGCCGAGCGGCCAGCTCTAGGAAGATTCTTGGTGTTCCAAACTTCCACCATTTAAGAATAATGGAGGCCACTGTGTTCTTGGGGACCTTCATGCTGCAGAAATATTTTTTGGTACCCTTCCCCAGATCTGTGCCTCCAAACAACCCTGTTTGGGAGCTCTACCGACAATTCATGGCTGGTTTTTGCACTGACATGCACTGTCAACTGTGGGACCTTACATAGATAGGTGTGTGCCTTTCCAAATCATGTCCAATAAATTTATTTACCACAGGTGGACTCAAGGATCTCAAGTGATGATCAATGGAAACAGGATGCACCTGAGCTCAATTTCGAGTCTCATAGCAAAGGGTCTGAATAGTTATGTAATAAGGTATTTCAGTTTTTTATTTTTAATAATCTGCAAAAATTTATAGAAACCTTTTTCGCTTTGTCATTATGGGGTATGTGTTTGTAGATTGATGAGGGAAAGAAATTATGTGATCAATTTTAGAATAAGTCTAATGTAACAAATGTGGAAAAAGGAAGGTGTCTGAATACTTTCCGAATGCACTGTATGTGGGGCACTCAGTCCTTTCACATGAGAAACATGCAATTTATATGTTGTTGATGATGATGATATCACATAACATATCATCAACAACTTAAGCACATTGCATCATTTTCATTTGTAAAATGAGTGAGTGAGTGAGTGCCCTCAAAATATTCACATCCGCTTCCCATTCACAAGTTTGCAGTAGAGGGTTACTTGATTCATGGATATGTGATAATGTTTTATGTTATGTGAAATTGTATTGTGCAGTCTACCTTTTCAATCTTTACTATACATTCTTATAAAAAGGTGCTGTCTAGAACCTAAAACGGTTATTCGGCTGTACCCATAGGAGATCCCTTTGAAGAACACTTTTTGGTTCCAAGTAGAACCCTTTTGGGTTTTCTATGTAAAACCCTTTTAACAGAGGGTTCTACATGGAACCCAAAATAGTTCTACCTAGAACCAAAAATGGTTCTACCTGGAACAGCCGAAGAAACCATTTTGGAAACCTTTTTTCTAAGTGTACATGATAGAGCATGTGATGCCAAACAAATGTCTCACTTATTCAGTCATTCACTCACAAATTCACTCATTGACTCACTCACTCGTAACTCACTCAGCCTCTCACTCACTCATTCACTCACTAGTTCTCTCAGTTCCTCACTCACTCAATCATAATTAACTCACTCACTCACGCACTCATTTACTCATTCACTCACTCAATCACTTTTCACTCACTCACTCAATATTTCATTCATTCACTCACCAACTTTGAAGAGGAGTTTGCACCCCTCCTCAAAAAACCTACACTCGATCCCTCCTATGTCAACAACTACAGACCAGTATCCCTTCTTTATTTTCTCTCCAAAACTCTGGAGTGTGCCGTCTCTAGCCAACTCTCCTGCTATCTCTCTCAGAATTACCTTCTTGATCCAAACCAGTCAGGTTTCAAGACGGTCATTCAACTGAGACTGCTCTTCTCTGTGTCACGGAAGCTCTCCGCACTGCTAAAGCTAACTCTCTCTCCTCTGCTCTTATCCTTCTAGACGTATCTGCGCCTTTGATACTGTGAACCATCAGATCCTTCCCTCTCCACCCTCTCCGAGTTGGGCATCTCCGGCGCTGCTCACTCTTGGATTGCGTCCTACCTGACAGGTCGCTCCTACCAGGTGGCGTGGCGAGAATCTGTCTCCGCCCACATGCTCTCACCACTGGTGTCCCCCAGGGCTCAGTTCTAGGCCCTCTCCTATTTTCTTCACACCAATCACAGGCTCTTCAAATCCCACAGCTCCCCTTTCCCTGCATATCAATATTTTGCTACGCAGATACACACAATTAATTTTCTCCTTTTCCCCCTTCTGTAACCAGGGGTTTTAAATCACATCTCTGAGTCGGCGACATTCAGGTGGATGTCGGATCACCACCTCAAACTGAACCTCGGGAAGACGGAGCTCTCTTCCTCCCCTGGGAAGGACTGCCGCTCCCGATCTCGCCATCTGGTTTACAACCCATTGTGTCCTCCCCCCAGAGGCAAAAAACCTTGGGGTGACCCTGGACAAACCCTGTCGTTTCCGCAACAAACAAAGGGTGACCCGATCCCGCGGGTTTATGCTCTACAAATTTAGAGTACGCCCCCCCCTACACAGAAGGGCACAGGTCCAATCCAGGGATTTTCATCCCCGCGGATTACGCAACTGCTGTTGGTGGGCTCCCGCCTGTGCCATTAAACCCCCACAACTTTTCCAGAACGCTGCACCCGTTGGGGGTTTTTTAAATTTCCCCCCAAGTTCCTCTGTCACCCCGTCCTCCCCGGGACGGATTTAGCCAGGGTGCTCCCCCTCCCTGTCGGGCAGGTTCGGGGTTGT